AAAGTCTACTTTTCAAATTCTTGAAGCTCTCAACAAGGTAATTCTTAAAGCTGTCTATCATTCATTAACTGTTTTTTAATTAATTTATTTATTTTTGGCTGCGTTGGGTCTTCGTTGCAGTGCACAGGCTTTCTCTAGTTGCTGTAAGCAGGGGCTACTCTTGTTGCAGCATGCAGGCTTCGCATTGCAGTGGCTTCTCCTGTTGCAAAGCACTGGCTCTAGGCACGTGGGCTTCAGTAGTTGTGGCACGCAGGCTCCAGTAGTTGTGGCTCGCGGGCTCTAGAGCACAGACTCAGTAGTTGTGGCACACGGGCTTAGTTGCTCTGCGGCATGTGGGATCTTCCGAGACCAGGGATCAAACTCGTGTGCCCTGCACTCTACCCCAGGATTCTTAACCACTGCACCATCAGGGAAGTCCTATCATTCATTAACTCTTGAATTAGAAGGCCAAAATATAATTGCATGAGGCAACTACATTACTTTAAAAAAAGTGACAAGATTTGAGTCTAACCACAGCAAAAGTCTGTGCATTTTGTGTGTGTGTTTGCACATCTTTCTCTAATAGAAAAGAGGAATAATTTTCACATGAGAAAGTTAATGTAAAAGATTCAGAGTAAAATGTAGTCAATGTCTTATTAATTTTAATCGTTTTATACACCATGTGGTTACATTACTTATTTTTATAACTGTATTCAAATGAATGCATCTTAAGGAACCATCATACAGCTTAAAGACTAAAAACTCAAGCATTTTTTTCTCTAACAGAAAAATGTAGAGATAGAAAAAATTGTATATCTCATTCTTCTTCCATTAAACAATTTAATAAAACAGTTACTAAGAAGCACTCTTCACAAGTGCAGACACTGCTCTAGGCCCTGTTCTTTAGAAAATCTGATAGAAAGGAACTTCAAGATCGAGGCCAAACATCCAAATATTTAAACATTGCGAGAATCTGCTCTACAACAGCAACACCAAGTGGCCATTAGTGCAACCTGTGTTCAAACACCTTCAGCAATAGGGATGAACGTATCTCAGAAGGCAGCCCAATGCATTTTCTGACACATCTGATTATTTGAAATAAATAAATCGATCCAAACATGTTTAATGATAACCTTATCTACTGGCCCTGCTTTTATTCTCAAATTCTCAATACAGAACAAGCCTAGTCAGTCTTCTATTTAACAGCCCTTCAAATATTTTAAAGGGACTACTATAAACCTCAACTCTTCTCGTCAACCTAAATACACAATTTTTAACTTAGCTATTTGATTAATCATGTATAGTAAAAAAAAAATTTCTCATAACAATTTCCAAGAAGGAATGCAAACATAAGAGTTTAATTCTTGAAGTTACAAAGGAGAATAATTTGCAAAATTACACAAAGTTTACCCCAGTTGTAAACTTTAAAGCAAAAATTTAAATTGTTTTAATATTACTAAATGTCTTAACTTTATTTATTTATAGATAAATATATAGAAGAGAATTCATTAAGATTAGCAAAGATTTGTTTGATATTTTAAAAGTATTTTCTATGCATTAAATACCTTTGACAAACAGCAGTTTCATTTTTTTCTTAACTGTAGCACAAATGACTAATTTAGAAAATTTATATAAACCATTCTTATACAACTACCCTCCTGCTAAAAATGAATGACTTAGGACACTAATCCTAATCCTATTTTACTACAGGACCAATCAATCAACTAGAAGATTATATTTACATTTAAATAATGTTTGCACAGTGAAGGTGAAAGTTAGTGTACAATCTGATACCTTCAGCACAGCCAGTTTCATAAATAAATTTCCTATCGATAAGATAAATAATACCAGTACTAGACAAAGAAATGCCATTTTCAATTTACCTAATTCATAGTCACTGTTTCTCAGTATTGAGTATTTTAGAAACTGAAAAAACTGAAAATATAGTTTAAATAACTTGTCAATATCATATACCATTAATAGGGCATATAAGATTTATTTTATCCTGAAAGAACAAAGGGAAAATTCAGTGCTGCTTTATATTTTGGTCTACTGAGCAAAGGGTTACTTTAGTGCTAAGTAAGCTTCAATTAATTTTCTTAAATGGTCAAGTCATTAAATAAAATGACAACGCATTCACAAGGAGAATTATGCTCTGTTTTTATTGAGCTAATAACTGTGAGCAAAAATAGAAAGTTACAGATAATATTAAATCAATTTTGAAAGTTCTGCATATTAAAGACAGACAATATTAGTTCATTTAAAATAAAGGCAAGGGCTTCCCTGGTGGCGCAGTGGTTGAGAGTCCGCCTGCCGATGCAGGGGACACGGGTTCGTGCCCCGGTCCGGGAAGATCCCACATGCTGTGGAGCGGCTGGGCCCGTGAGCCATGGCCGCTGAGCCTGTGCGTCCGGAGCCTGTGCTCCACAACGGGAGAGGCCACAACAGTGAGAGGCCCGCGTACCGCAAAAAAATAATAATAATAAAAATAAATAAATAAATAAAGGCAATAATCTTTACTGAGCCTGTCAGGATTTGTTTCCTGGGGTACCTCACCTTCTTGGTTAACTCCAAGCAAGTTAGTTACTATCTGGTTCAGATTTCAGCTATACTAATATTTGTCTGTAAAAAGTTCCATATAATTGAATCTTCTAAATGACTTACGTTTATCCCATTATGCAACAAAATTTAAAATTTTAACCACTTCATAGCCATTTTTCTAAAAGACTTCACTTATTTCACTGCTTTCTAAAAAGAGCTGAAATTTAATTTAACCATTTTCTACAAATTTAGTTACAGTATGAACATGAACTGTACTGCAAAATGGTAACTGCTGTGCTTGGATCTCCTGTTTCCTCTCCTCTGCTTGCTGTCACTTACTGATGACAGTGTGTTCTTGATGTTTCTGATGCTGAGGTGAGAACCCAAGAGTGTCTATAAAGGCTCCTGAGCATAAAAAACTAGGCTTTGTGATATCTGGTTACTGAGTTATTTTTCTCTCCTTCTTCACCTCCATCGCTAATTTTCCAATTACTGAAGTTACCATAAAAAATATATATATATCACAGCAAAATAGGCTGTTAGCACCAGGAAGGGAATTCTGAAGAGAGGTCCAGGTACCTGAACACAGAAGCAGAAAAACCCCTTCCCTTAGAGGGCAGCACTGGCTAATGTGCACAATGAGGTCTCCATTCCTTTTTCCCTGGGAACTGGAATCAACCTGCCCATTCTAGACTTTTCTATCCTTTATTATGGCATTCTTTTTTTAAATTTATTTTTCAGGATTTTTTTTAACATCTTTATTGGAGTATAATTGCTTTACAATGTTGTGTTAGTTTCTGCTGCAAAACAAAGTTCATCAACTGTACGTATACATATACGGTATTCTTCTCTCCACAGATAATTTAATAGCACAGTCTCCACACCTTCTGCTCATTAAATGCAAAGAACAGAACAAAGGCAGAAACAATAGCAGTGCTGTCAAATTACACATGGGGCATAAGAGTTAAATGACCATGACTACATTATATGGAAACGATGTGTGCTTGGCATGTACTGCTACACGACAAACAAATGTAAATAAAACTATGAATCTGAGTTTCTGTCTATGGGGGTGCTGAGAAGGATAAGAGCACAAAGATGTAATTTTGTCTGGCACTGGAATTCTCAAAATCATCAGAAATATTTATAAACACCAGAGAACGTAAGTTAGAATTACAGAAAATCTAGATTTTGTTCTCACTACACATAAACTGAAGGAATCACAAAATTAATTAATCAATGTTTTCCCTTTTTCTTTTAAATACATATTTTGTTTTTTTGTTTTTAATTTATTTTATTTATTTATTTTTGGATGCATTGGGTCTTCGTTGCTGCACACGGGCCTTCTCTTGTTGTGGTGAGCAGGGGCTACTCTTCTTTGCCGTGTGCAGGCTTCTCATTATGGTGGCTTCTCTTGTTGCAGAGCACGGGCTCTAGGCACAGTGGGCTTCAGTAGTTGTGGCACAAGGGCTCAGTAGTTGTGGCCTGTGGGCTCTAGAGAGCAGGCTCAGTAGTTGCGGTGCACCGGCTTAGTGGCTCGGCAGCATGTGGGATCTTCCGGGACCAGGGATCGAACCCGTGTCCCCTGCACTGGCAGGTGGATTCTTAACTACTGTGCCACCAGGGAAGTCCCTCCCTTTCTTAATTAAGCATTAGTAGTACAGGCCACGGCTTAAAAAAAGAAATTCTGCCTAAGTAAACTGATGACCTGTTTCTCTCTACCAAATAAGTTCTTATGATTCAAGTTTTAGAGAAACTATTCTAAGCCATCAAAGACTAGTTGCCTACAAAATAAACAACATAATCCTCTTGGCTGCAACAGATTCTCACTGCTCTGAAGTAATTTTCATCAGAAAAATGGAAAAATGTGAGGTAATCTTTGACTAACTAGTAAAAATTTATTTTTACATTCAGTTTTCCCTACTAGGCATGAGAAAACAACAACAACAACAAAAAGACATCTAAAAGATTAGCCCTATTCATCTACCTGGCTTGAATAAATAACAACTACCATTTTACTTCTGTTAGCCGGTAATGTCAAAAATTACTGATTTATAGAAAATAATATATGAGGAAGAAAGTAAACAAGGATAAAATATCTAGCAAAAAAAAAAGACAGAAAAAAGTTACTCTATAAAACTTTCTCCCCATATACAACCCAAAGATATCCAGTTAACACAGCTACAGTATCTTGGAGGTGAGAATATATAATAGATTACTGAATTAAAACTATTCAAAAATGACACCTTTCTGTTGGCATCTGTAACCATACAGCACTAAGACAGAACCACTCCAATGGCTAAAGGAGTCATGAAATAAAGGATGTATATCTTACTCTTGATCTTAGACTAAATAAACTATTTTGTTTCCTTATCTATAAAATGGGGGCAAACTGGAAGACTGTGAAAATTTATTATTGGTAAAATGCTTATAATTTTCAGGTAAAATGTTACAGAAAAAGTTAAGTACGTGATCCATACCTTGTTTTAATTCCAAACCTTCAGGTTGCTTGTTCTCTCTCAGGGATGAGGTAGAATCTACACAGATGTCTTGTCTGAGGAATGAAAATAAATAAAAACAATCTTTTAAACATTATTCAATGAAATAATATTTACTGCTGAGGCTCCTAGAATTAAGTTATACACTTGAGAAGACAGTGAATTCTTCTCAGCCCCCAGGGTACCATTCAGTACATTCTGGAAACTCAGAAACATGTATACAAGTGTCAGAAGCAGCGGCTATAAACTGCTACCAATTTAAGTAGTATACTTTGTAAAATCAAGGAACAAACCTGGAATGAATACCGAGGTTAATTTTCTCTCCCTTCCAATACTCTGCAGGGTAACTGATGGGAGAAGTCATAACTCACAGAAGAATCTAGTAATTTTTCAAGTTCAACTGTTAAATTTAATGGGCACTCTGGCATTCAAATTATTTTTGTTTCTTTGTTTTTGCTGTACGCAGGCCTCTCACTGTTGTGGCCTCTCCCATTGCGGAGCACAGGCACCGGACGCGCAGGCTCAGTGGCCATGGCTCACGGGCCCAGCCGCTCCGCAGCATGTGGGATCCTCCCGGACTGGGGTACAAACCCGTGTCCCCTGCATCGGCAGGCGGACTCTCAACCACTGCGCCACCAGGGAAGCCTCAAATTATTTTATATTCATCTAATTTCATACCTCAAATGCTTTGGCGTCTACAGGATGTGGAAAATACATATCTTATTTGTAATATACATATGTAATCAAAGTAAATGGATTATGTATAAGATCATGCCATAAAAAAAGTTCTTGATTCACTATTTCTGCAAAAGAGCTGTAAACTAAACTAATACTCTTTCTTAGAGAGCATTATACCATTATAATATTGATGTTACAAATACTTCACAGCAAAAGTCAAGACATTAATTATTGTAAATATTCAAAATAACTATCTTCTTTAAAATACATATCTATTACCTTCTGAGAATTTTTATACACACCCTAAGACTAACATACTAGAAATATCTAGGAAATTTTCGTATTCACAAAACTTTTTATATCCACTTAATAACAAATCCCTCAAATAAGGATAAAGACTTGTGATTATTTCTTTGAGAAGTTTACAATTTTCTTTCCAGTCAACACATTTGGCACTTATAAGTTTGTTCTGTATTAAAATTTTACTAATACAGTACAAACTCAAATAGAAACTATGAAAATATTTAACTTGGTACTATGACATCTTAGAGATTTATAATTAAGATAGCTCCATTTTTTATCCTTCTTTCTGTCTAATGTTGCCTACTCAGATTTTATTCTTTCACCAGAATGACTAGCAGATCCCAAGGAGGATATCAACAACACACCCTGGCAATCTAGGGGCAGATTAAATGCCAATATACCACATTAAAAGCTTTGCAAAGGGGACTTCCCTGGTGGCACAGTGGTTAAGAATCTGCCTATCAATGCAGGGGACAAGGGTTCGATCCCTGGTCCAGGAAGATCCCACATGCCACGGAGCAACTAAGCCAGTGCACCACAACTACTGAGCCTGCGTTCTAGAGTCCACGAGCCACAACTACTGAAGTCTGCATGCCTAGAGCCCATGGCAAGAGAAGCCACTGCAACGAAGAGTCGCCCCCGCTCGCCACCATTAAAGAAAGCCCAAGCACAGCAATGACGACCCAACGCAGCCAAAAAAAAGAAAAAAAAAAAGCTCTGCAAAGAATAAAGTTAAAATATGCCACCTCAAGCCTTACGTCAAATTAGACTTTACCTACTGGGAACATTAATCTATTTCTAAGTATATTCCTTTAGAGAAAATGTTTGTTTGCTCTAATACCTGAATGGCACTTATTTCTCTTCTAAACACATACACCTAACTTTTTCAAAAAATGACTTGAACAAAAACATAATGTAACATCATCATTAAAAGGACCATGGGCATATGCAATACCTAATAAAGACACAACATCACTCACGCAACATTATAGCTGAGAATGTATAATCTATATCATGAGGAATCATGAGACAAACTGCAAGTGGAAATGAGTAATGTTCTATTAAAAAGAGGGAGGGGAGTTAAAGTCAATGTTATAAAAGACAAAGAAAGGCTGTGGAAATATTCCAGGTTAAAGGAGGCTAAAGAGTCATGACAATTAAATGTTATAACTGACTTGAGACTGCTCAACTGGAGGGGAAAACATTATAAAGGATATTACTGAATCAAGTGACAAACTAAAATACTGATGGCAGATTGGATAAAAGTATCAATGTTAAATTTACTAAAGCTGAATTTACTGAAGTTAACAATGTATTGCGGTTATATGAAAAAGAATATCACTATTTTAGGAAAAGTACAATGTAGTATTTAGAGGTAAAGTGTCATGATGTATGTAACTTAGCCTCAAATGTTTCAGAAGAAAATATACAAGTATATAAAGAGAAGGTGTGCAAATGGGACTAAATGTTAATAATAGGTAAATCCAGGTACAGGATATATGTATGTTTCTTGTACTATTCTTATTCCTGCAACATTTTAATAATTCTGAAATTATTTCCAAATAAAAATTTTAAATTAATAATAATGTAGTGAAGTGCATTATTTTATGCATTATTTGATTTTCTCTGTGAAAGCTCCTTGAATCCCCTTCAAATAAAACTGGACCCCTCTATAAAGTCTATCTGCTGTCATAAACAAATTTTTTTATTGCCCAAAGTGAATGTTTATAATGTTCTGTTTTCTCTTAAGTTGGATTTGATCAGGCTGTTGAAGAAAATCACCAGAAAAAACTTCAGACAGTAGAGGTAGTACACCACCTTGTGGCTGAAAAGTGAAAAGCTAGATGCTTTTACATCAGTATCATCTGAAGCTGAAACAATGTTCCAGAAAATAGTTTGGAATTTTAATTTTTCCAAGACGTAGATTTGCAACTAAAATTATCATACACATTCAGAGTTCTGTAATGCAATTTAAAGATTTTCACTAAAGAGCATAAAAGGCAAGACGGAAACAAAAAAGGAAATGTCTTAAAGTGTAAGAAAATTATGTCTCCCCCAACATAATAAAACATACTAAGTGTCAGAGTTAGGAAAACTAAAGGAATTCCAATTTATAGTTAAATTACATTTAAATATTTCTATCAAACGCTTTAAAACCATATAAGAATTTTATAACAACTGGAGAGAGAAGAGGTGAAGAGAAAAAAGAGGGGAGGGAAGGAACACACTAAAAATCTGGCTTGGGTTAAGAATCTTGCAATGTTTTTTGTAGTCTTTTCCATTAAGAAAAAAAAAGACAGTTTTTATTTCCCCAATTCTCTTCTCCCATCTGCAATGATCCTTAAAGCACCTTAATTTACAATCTTGGCCTTGAATTATAAAAGAGCCCTATATCTATCCTTGGGATTTAAGTTCGCAAACCAATATCAGTCCAACTTTCTTTCTTTTACTCCAAATATGGTTCTATGAGTGATGCTTTCTTATAACTCCAATGAATTTGTTTTTTAAAATCAGAGTAATACACTGGGGAGATCTGTAGGACTTAATCAAGAACAACCACACATGTGAATTACTAAGGTTTAAAATATACTGCTAAACAGAAAAAAAAAAAATCAATTTCTTGTCTAAAAGAAAAATACTGGGAAGAGACCTCAACAGAAGGATAAAGAGAGAACCAAACCAGAAGGATTCCTCCCACTTTGGAAAAAGTCAGCTAACAAAGAATCAGGCAAACTGGCCTAACGACAGATATACCCTTGGTTCTCGCCACTATCCTGGGAGTAAAACTAGAGGCTGAATGATGCCAGCTTATCATGTTATGAGCTTTCTACTATTAAAAATAAGACACAGGCAAAGAAACTAGAGTAGCCAAAACAATTGTGAAAAAGAATAACCAAGTTTAAGGATGCACACTATCACATTTCAAGAGTAAAAAGCTACAGTAACCAAGATAGTAATGGTATTAGAGAAAGGATAAACATCTGGATTAATAAAACAGAATAGAGTACAGAAACAGATCTAACACATATATGGTCAATAGTTTAAAACAACAACATAAATGTGTATCACAGTTCTGTAGGTCAGAAGTCTGGGAGGGGTCTCACTGGACTAAAATCAAAGTGTCCACAGGCTGCACTCTTTTCTGGAGACTCTAGGGGAGAATTCATTTCCTGCTCATTTGGATTGTTGGCATAAATTTGTTCTCTGAGATGGTAGGGCCAAAATCCCTGTTGCCTTGCTGCTTACCCAGCTTCCAGTCAAGGTCTTCTCATGTCACATCTCTCTGACCTACTCTTCTTCTGTCTTCCTCTTCCACTTTTAATAACTCAGTGTGACGAGACTGGGATAACCTGGATAATCCAGGATAATCTCCCCATCTCAAAGTCCTTAACCTTAACCAAATCTGTAACGTCCCTTTTCTCAATATATAAAGTAACACATTCTTAAGTTCTGGAGATTAGAGAGTCATTTTTCTGCCTACTATATTACCTGAACTGGAGAATGGATAAGCAAACTGTGGTTCACCCACGCAATGGAATATCAACTACTCAGCAAGGAAAAGGAAGGAACTACTTATATACACAGCAACATAAGTGAATCTCAAATGCATTATGCTAAGTGAAAGAAGCCTATATACTGTATTTATCTATATGACATTCCGGAAAAAGAAAAAGTGTGAGGACATAAATCAGGTTGTCAAGGGTTGGACACAGGAGAAGGAGTGGACTACAAAGAGCCATGGGGGAAATTCTGGGTATGATGGAACGGGTCTATATTGTGGCTGTGATGGTAGATAAATTTGTCCAAACCTGCATAACTATATAGTAAAAAAAAAAAACAAACCAAAACTAAATTACACTTTTATCTAAATTACACTTTTAATATTTTTGTATCTAAATTACACTGTTAATATTTTTTAAGTTGGGGTACCACAAAGCCTTAGAACAAGTTCAGAAAAATGAAATCACCTAGTGCTCAAATGTAACCCTCAAACACTATGGAATGGAGCAAAACAATCTTTCTCAAAGGGCCTTTCCAAATAGCAAATAAATTCACATCTCTAGTGCTTCCCTCA